GTCAGTACCGTCGCCGAAAAAAATCGCTTGAACGCTTTCATCGCAAGCATCATTCTAAAAGTTGGCAACGCTGTACATTTTGCTACCTCGGCACAGAGTCGGTAATTCAGACCCTAGGTCAAAAACGAGTATTGCATGCAATATTGGATCCTAAGTCTTGGACGAAATATTGTGCCCGTTGTTATCGATGATTCATAATATTAGACTTTTTAGTCGAAATCGAGTATTTTATATATTTCAGTCGTACTACCATAGACGAGGTATTCGTCTGTGATACTGTATTATCTAAAATAGAATATAGAAGTGCATCTATACCTCGTTTGCGGTAAAAGTTAAAAATTATATTTTCCTGCAACGCAAATTACGGTATAAGTTCACCCATTCCTCACAATAAATTGTTTTCAAACTAAGAGAATAAATCATAAAACAGTATAAATAGTTCCACCAGAAAACGATAAATGCAGTCAAGGAAAGTTATACTGAAAAACACTGCAGACAATTAAGATAATATCGCAATAATTGCAGATACGCGAGGTTCCCATCAAATTATACGAAGTGTTTCTCCATTGTCGAACGCATACCGTTTGATTAGATTTGCAGGAAAAGGCCAAGTGTTATAGTCCCGCAGAGTGATCGTACATTACCAATATTGTTTTCTGTCTACCCTACCGTCACTATGGAATGCTTGTGCAGTCTTATACACTCAATGGTCGCAAGCAGTACAATCCGCGGCTCGTAGCTTACGAAGTGAGAGATTAACATCATTCGAAAAATGTTGCATTCATTGAAAAAATCCACAAGCGTCTCATACCAAAAGTTACGGAAATTATTTTACGTCAAGGATTTTGTAACACTGATACGCCCCTATATTTTCATCATTTCCGTTCTCGGATACTTCCCCTATAGTATCTCACTGTCAACGTACAAGGTTGTCAAGAAGAGCTTTGTCTGGTCCTGGATAATGTTGATCAGCATGACAGTGCTATGTCTCGCGGTGCTACCCAGGTTAACTTTTTGGAACAGGCACAGAGACATAATCTCGAGATTGGACTACGCCAATATGTATGGTTTTGGTCTCTTTTGTCTTTGGGCAAGCTACTTTTCATCTCGATCGAAACTGCATTTTCTTCGCACGGTTTCGACTGCATCCCGTGTGCTGTCTCTTGGAACGTTCTGCAGCACTGCCAAGTGGATGTTCGTGATAGACATCATTAAGGTCACGCCGCTCTTGACCCGCGTGGTCGTCGTAGAAGCGAATCTATGGTCGATCGTAATCTATGCTAGTTGTTGCTACATATCCTTGGAGACATTGGTAGCAAACTCGTTGTTCATCAATTCTCTATACGTGTTGCGCCTTTGTTTTCGTAACATCAACAGATCTCTGGAGAAATTGAGGATAAATCTGGTTACTGACGAGCCTCACCTACTTAGAAGGGTATATCATTCGCAGAAGAATCCTACGCTATTATCAGAGCTGAAGACGCTTAGGAGGCAGCATCTAGAACTTGGAAAAATTGTTGATCGGCCTGGAGATCATTTTTATCATCGCAAGGTCTATGATGACTATCATCTTAAATTTATATCGCTATTTGATAGAAAATACTGACGACGGTAAGATCGTGCATTTGTGGTCAATGTACATCGAGTATCTCGTTCATACTTGCCAGTATCTGATTATTATTGCTGTCGTGTGTGAGATGGTGAAGGATCAGGCGAAGAATATTGGTTACAATATACATCGGATTCTCGTGACTACCTTTGATAAACAGATTTCCACAGAGGTAAGGGAAGAAAAAAAAGAAGATTTTTATAGACATAATTATTTATATCAAATTGAAACAAATATTCCTTGTAAATAGATGAAATCATTGCATTAACATTTCCCAACTTGTTGCACTTTAGAAATCAATAATGTTGAAATAAGCCCAATGTTGTCATTATTTTTTCTCCACTCCACTAATTTTGAAGAAACATGTTTCAAAAGAGTAAGACTAGAGCAAAGAATAAAGCGTAGCTTCAAAATGAAAATAGTACCAATATATCCAGAGATATACATATAGTCATGCCAACTTTTGTTTCCACATTTGGAAAAACAGTTGTCGTCGTTCTCGATGGAAGTTCTGCAGCAGAACCACGCAATCGTAGCAAGAGGACTAATAATAGACGTGACCCTGCTGACAAAGGTAAACGCGATCTGGAACCATTGTCTACGAAACAAGTTTCATACCTTTCATTTACAGATAGTGGGAATCATCACGACTTATTTGCTGATCCTAATACAATTTTCCCTGATGAAACCCTGTTGAAGAAAGTGACAAGAGACCGTGCGAGACCGTCTTTCTTCGAAAGAAATTATAGAATTATGTATATGCACCACATTACAGACATTTCATCCCATTAAAAACTTTCGATAACATCGTCGCTGTCGATCCAAAGATGATTCCAGTCTTATCTATTCAAGAACGCATTCTTAAATCTGCAAACTTACAATTTACTGCAGAATGCTTGAAAGCACGATAATGATTAATACCAAAAAGAGTCGCGAGCCATGGCGATCATGGGATACCACGAACCTCTCATCAGTGATATACCATAACATCGTTTTCTGTCTGATTCTTGGACTTTTTCCGTGTAAGAGCAATCCTACGGAATTTGTGTTCTCAAAAACACGATTTGTTTGGTCGATGATCACGCAGCGGAACTACATACATAGTTCAATTGGCCTTGACACTGTACAACGCAAATATCAGTTGAGGTGATTGATCTGAACTTGTTCTTCATCTCGGAGGGTTTAATGACCTTGGTGTTGTACGGTTTATCGTACCAGAGGTTTCAGATGTTACAAAAGCTGACAAAGCTCTCACGTGTTATTATCTGATCAGGACTTCGAGGTCATGACGAGGTTCGCGAACACGAAGGACATCTTCGGTATCATTCTATTCCTCGTGCACCTGCCGAACTGTATCGATGGTCTGAAACAGATAACCTTATTTTGTGTCATGACTTTGTACATGATGATGGTGTACATCGCCATGCAAATTATATAATGATTATATAACGTCGCCTGCAAAAATGCTGAGGATTTCGACGAATAGAGTCACGGTGTTTGTACAAATTTTAGTTTATTACGGAATCTATGGAAATATTTAATTAGATTAATTCTGGTAACTCATTGTTGGTCATTTCGAAAAACAAACAAAAACAAATATTTATCCTTGAAAATGGTTTTATTGTTTTTCAAAATACTCTCCATGATGATCAATACACTTTTATATACGTTTAAACCAGCTTTTATAGCACTTTTTTTATTCCGATGTAGGTACCTCCAAAACGTGGCGTCGAAAATCGTTGTCCATATAATTTATTCTTCACGGACGGAAACAAGAAGAAATAATTAGACACGAAATCAGGGCTGTACGGCGGATGACACATCAATTCGATGTTTTGATCGGTTAAATATTGAGTTGTTTGGGCCGATGTATGAGAGCTCGCATTGTCATGATGAAGAATGATCCTGCGTCACTGGCTGCTTTTTTTATTTCTCGGTTAAATATTTATGTAATATCTTATCTATGCTTGTCATACTAATGGCCAGGGATGCCTTAATCTCACGATATGTCATACGACGATCTTGTATTATCAGTTCGCGCACAGCATCGATGTTTTCTGGCACAACGACCGATTTTGGACAACCTCTTTTAAATTCATCCGTGAGCGAACAACGGCCACGATTGAATTCACTAAAGCAGTGATATACTACAGTGCTTTTAGATAGTGTTTCATCGTCAAAAGTCGAAGTGAGTTAATGGATTCATTGTCGTTGCGATAATCCACACTGAAAGTCGTAGTAAATTATCGCACGAAAATTTTCACGAGTTAATTCTATTATTTCACTGAAATTAAATTTTCAAAACGCAAATAGAGTCTGAGTACGTCATAATAAATATAAATGATAAAACGTCCTGACTACGTCAAAAAAGCTCAAACTTTACAATGAATATGTCAGATGGCGCCTACTAACACCAGTGTTACCAATTCCGAATACATAAATAGCAATTCTCGTGAAGTACCATCGAGTACTTAATCGCGAAATGTATTCTGATATTATCATCTATATTAGCTTTCAAGTGCCATTTTATTTATTCAAGACCACACTTCATTATGGCGTTGAATTTCTAGATCACCATCTCAGAAACAGTCACTTACCGGTCATTTTGAATATTGTTTATGCGAACAGTGCGTGCTAATCATTCAGTTCCTGAAACACGTTCATTCGAGCCGGTTGTAAAACAGACTACAGTCTTTTTCAGTTATAAATAAACTGTGTATCTTTCTATAAAATAAAAACATACTGCATCAAGAGACAAAGGCATAAGTTAAGTCGAAATGCACTTTCGCTTTCAACAGATTTTAACGAATTAGTAATATTTTAAGCATATTTTAAAACTTTTTTTAGAGTTTTTGCTGCTTTGTTCACTTATCATTTTGGAGTTCGCAGTTTTCTTATAAATCAAAAATTAAAGAAGTACAAGAAATCAACGTGGACTACGTCATAGTTTTTCTGTCACATACAAATTTGAAATCATTGAGCAATGACCAATCACGCAACGAGAACCAGAGATTCCAAAAACCGCAAACGATGCCTACTATTTAGCGTGACAGACTTTGAGTCTTTCATGCATCCCATCATACTTTTGTCGCGGATATTCGGTTTTTTCCCGTACAACTATAAATCTGAAGAATGCGTGTTCTCCAAGAAAAGATTCGTCTATTTAATAATCTCAGCCTGTCTTCATTTGCTTCTCCAAAGTTACAACTTCTTATTAGTCAATTTTCTCGACACCAATAGCACCATAATGGAAACAATACCGGAGAATTTCTTCATTCTGTTAGACGGATCTATACCTCTACTACTGTTCGCTGCACCATTTTCGATGTCGGTCATGTTCACAAAATTGTCAAAGCTTTCACACACATTATGCCGCCAGGATTTCAGTGACATGGCGAAAGTAACTTACACGGTTTGCATCGTGAACATCGTTTTCTTCGCGAGTATGATACCGTTATATTTTTGGAAGGTTCTGAAAGTACCTTTGCGGCGACGTCTCATTAATTTGTATCTGGCGATGTCATCGTCCACGGTGACATTTTTCTACCTGTCTTACGTGTGCATCTTGGGAGCGTGCTTCAAGAAACTTAACAAAAATCTGATACAGTTGAATGGACCTTTGTCAGGCCGTCATAAAGAATTGACAGAGAAGCAATTGTCACGAAGACAGAGTATCATGTTGTTGATGAAGGTGAAATATTACGAGGAGGTGCACGAGGAAATCAGCGACGCTGTCGAATACCTGAATACAATGTTTCGTACAATAAATATCGTTTCTGCGACTGTCACTTTCGCTGTGGTCACTTTTGATTTGTACAATACGATCGCGCAATGGTACGTCAGCGATAATGTAACAACGACGCGAGATCGCATGTCTCAAGTGTTTGAGGGATTAACATATGTGGTATTAAGGTTTGGGAAGTTCTGCATAGTGGTTTGGGTCTGCGAAACTGCCGCGAACTATGCAGCGGAGATCATTACCACGATTCATGATTGTGTTAGCCACTGCGCGGATGACACTATCAAGCGCGAGGTAATTGGCCAGTTAGATTGCAAGCTTTTATTTCACTTTTGTAAATGAAAAGGGAAGAAAGGTGTTATTGACACGTTAAGCGCTGAACAATTGAAGCAAAATATCCGCAACGTTAAAGTATACACTAGTGGACAAAATGATAAGGCACCTCAAGATTTTTGGTAGAGTAATGACAAGGGCAACTATCGACTATATAGGAAATACGGAAATAAAATTTTTTCAAGGAAGTATAAATACTTAAATTTAATCAAGGGACGGATAGAGACTTACGCTGGCAGAATTGCTGGGACAAAATATATATTTCAGCAAGATAATGCAGCTGTGCGTATCGCTCGCATAGTAAAAAATTATTTTGAAACGGAAAATGTAAAGGTTTTAAATTGGCCAGCAAAGTCTCCTGACAGAAGCATTATCGAGAATGTTTGGGGAAATCTCAGCCGAATATTACATGAAGATGGGAAGCAGTATAATACAGTGTCCGAATTGAAATCTGCAATTTTAGAATCTTAGGAAAGCTTGGATCAAAAGTATACATATAAAAGATCTGTATAGAAGTTTACCAAGAANGTTTTTTCCCGTACAACTATAAATCTGAAGAATGCGTGTTCTCCAAGAAAAGATTCGTCTATTTAATAATCTCAGCCTGTCTTCATTTGCTTCTCCAAAGTTACAACTTCTTATTAGTCAATTTTCTCGACACCAATAGCACCATAATGGAAACAATACCGGAGAATTTCTTCATTCTGTTAGACGGATCTATACCTCTACTACTGTTCGCTGCACCATTTTCGATGTCGGTCATGTTCACAAAATTGTCAAAGCTTTCACACACATTATGCCGCCAGGATTTCAGTGACATGGCGAAAGTAACTTACACGGTTTGCATCGTGAACATCGTTTTCTTCGCGAGTATGATACCGTTATATTTTTGGAAGGTTCTGAAAGTACCTTTGCGGCGACGTCTCATTAATTTGTATCTGGCGATGTCATCGTCCACGGTGACATTTTTCTACCTGTCTTACGTGTGCATCTTGGGAGCGTGCTTCAAGAAACTTAACAAAAATCTGATACAGTTGAATGGACCTTTGTCAGGCCGTCATAAAGAATTGACAGAGAAGCAATTGTCACGAAGACAGAGTATCATGTTGTTGATGAAGGTGAAATATTACGAGGAGGTGCACGAGGAAATCAGCGACGCTGTCGAATACCTGAATACAATGTTTCGTACAATAAATATCGTTTCTGCGACTGTCACTTTCGCTGTGGTCACTTTTGATTTGTACAATACGATCGCGCAATGGTACGTCAGCGATAATGTAACAACGACGCGAGATCGCATGTCTCAAGTGTTTGAGGGATTAACATATGTGGTATTAAGGTTTGGGAAGTTCTGCATAGTGGTTTGGGTCTGCGAAACTGCCGCGAACTATGCAGCGGAGATCATTACCACGATTCATGATTGTGTTAGCCACTGCGCGGATGACACTATCAAGCGCGAGGTAATTGGCCAGTTAGATTGCAAGCTTTTATTTCACTTTTGTAAATGAAAAGGGAAGAAAGGTGTTATTGACACGTTAAGCGCTGAACAATTGAAGCAAAATATCCGCAACGTTAAAGTATACACTAGTGGACAAAATGATAAGGCACCTCAAGATTTTTGGTAGAGTAATGACAAGGGCAACTATCGACTATATAGGAAATACGGAAATAAAATTTTTTCAAGGAAGTATAAATACTTAAATTTAATCAAGGGACGGATAGAGACTTACGCTGGCAGAATTGCTGGGACAAAATATATATTTCAGCAAGATAATGCAGCTGTGCGTATCGCTCGCATAGTAAAAAATTATTTTGAAACGGAAAATGTAAAGGTTTTAAATTGGCCAGCAAAGTCTCCTGACAGAAGCATTATCGAGAATGTTTGGGGAAATCTCAGCCGAATATTACATGAAGATGGGAAGCAGTATAATACAGTGTCCGAATTGAAATCTGCAATTTTAGAATCTTAGGAAAGCTTGGATCAAAAGTATACATATAAAAGATCTGTATAGAAGTTTACCAAGAAGAATGATTAAAAGGGGAACAACGTAAAAGACTGTCCACACATTACTAAAACTTAAACAAACTATGTAATTTTATTTTATTTTAATGCTTTTATTATTTCATATTCAGAGTGAATTATCGTTTTGTCCGCGCAAAATATTTTTTATTTTGTATGAATAACAAATGGGTCGAACGATTTCTTCATATATTATGCCAAACTGGTATCTTATTTTGTTGTGTATTCATTTCCCATGTATATGTGCAAATAGATGTTTATATCCAAAATCTTGAGGTGCCTTATTATTTTGTCCACCAATGTATTTTTGTATAATATAATCTTCTTAATGGAATGGGTAATTCGTAATTGATTGTACTCATTACTAGACTATCTTTACTCATTACTAGGTTTACTCATTACTCATTAAAATACTACTTATATAAACTTACTTATTAAAATATGCAGTATGAAATTGTTTTTATAACTGACACGGTAATCAACGTGTTAATTATTGTCACTTTGTACTTTATAAATTTCTGCATGTCACAACCGCATAAAATAATGATTATATTGTTACAGTTGAAGTATTTTGCTCTGCAAGTTACGCACAGAGATATTACGTTCACGACGAAAGCTTTTAATATTGATGGGAAGCTTCTATCGCAGGTAAGATTTATTATTAAGAAAGGGGATGTGAATGACAAAGGATTGTGAAGAATTCAAAGCTAGTGTATGTTAATAGATATAGATTATAACAGCAGCGATTTATTTACAGATTCTGAGTGCAATTTTAATGTACATGATTATACTCCACCAATTTTTAATGAGTTCTAATTGCACCAACTAATCGCTGGCGCCACGATCGACACTTTTTCCGAACTGACACTATTTTGTTTGGCACGTCAGCCTGATCAATGCTTTGATAGCCTCACGGAAGGCAACAGGATGTGTTCATGCGCAGATACCTATAATGACTCGTGGCTGAGTTTTTTGATAATAGCATTCAACTTAGTGTAATGATCAGACAGAAGATGACATGCTAACTTAGGGATTTTATGTTGAAGCCAATTTTGTCTCAATTGCACCAAACAGGAATAAAATCGACATTCGTTTCATGTTTGAATAGTCTTAATTAGTGGAGTAAATATCATGCTTTTCCTTTTTTTAAATTATATCCTCGCTTATTTACATTCAATATCATGATTGACGGGACTATTGGAAGATTCAAATATTCTGTTGTCTACCTATGTACCTATTGTACTTATTACTGTAATTCCAGCATTTTTTAATCGTCTTGAAATTTTTACTATTTTGCCAATTCGATGTCAGCAATAAAATTCACTATATACTAACAAATAAACAGCAAGATCTAGAGAAAAAGTTGTTGTTTCATTAACCTGATCGATTTTAAAAAGGAAACACTTAGTAAATTGACATTGAACTTCCGAGAAAGCATGACAAGATGATTGCAACTCCCTTTTTAATTTTGTTAAAAGCCCGCAGATAGAATCATAGATACTAACTGAAAAACTATTGTTGCATCATTAACTGAACATTGCATTGCAACAATAAACTTTAGATCGCCATTTGTCAAAACTCAACAGTTGCAGAAAATACATAATTCCGTCCACCAATTGCATTCGTTTGAGCGAACAGCTACCCAAGTATGTATATAGTTCTTTTCCATCACACAAAATTTGTATCACTTGCGAGCCGTAAATTCAAACTACGATTAGAATGGAGAACGTGAATGATCTCGATTGCTGGCGGCCATCGCGCGCCACGGATATTCCAAGTAATAGCAGAATTAAAATAAAAATATTTTAGTCATTGTAGATGCGCGCGCGCGCGCGCACACACACAAAATTCAAGTCATTTGATCGAGTTTTAAAAAACTGTTTACATTTTAAAACTTATACGAACACTTTTGTGAGCCACTGCGTGTATTAGCGTTACGAGATCAAGGTGGTTGGTGTTTTAATTACCTTTTTAATAAACAACAAGCACCTGCTAAAAACATCCCAAAATTACTGAGGAGGATCACCTTGACTAAAATATGTCGAGGCCAAGGTCATTGAAGCTGAGTCCGCTAGATGTAGTATTTAACAATTATTTTAGCCATTATAAAATAAGATTTCTTTCGTTTTTCTTATGTATCGTTCTAAAGATTATACGAATCTAGGGAGGTGTACAAAACACTGGTGTAGTGATTGTGCATTTGCATTTTGCTTTCAAAAAATGTCATTCGGTCATTGATACCTACATTATTGGTATCTAGTTCATTAAATTTTTTCTTTGTAAGACTAAATAAATCATATAATAAAGTATGCAGTTGCATAATATAAGAATATCAATACCTATCGTCCATCTTCCTGAATCGATTTTTGAACAATCCTATCGATCAGTAAAATTCTGCATGAAATTACAAATAAATTCCTGAATTGAATTTTACCATCCGTTGGTAAGTCGTTATCTTTACCGACTGCAAGTAAACTCGAACGGGTAAGTCCCAATGGTTCGAAAAGGCCCCCCTGCCAGGTTCCGAGATCTTTTAGCGGACCCCAAAAGGTTGCGCGTCAGGTGGTTCTGTCCCTCCGGTTGCCCCCATCCCCCACCAGGCAACGAGAAACATCGTAGCATACCACCTGCAAGGCGATTGGTCAGTTCGGAGACAGGTCAAACGGCAACACATCGGTTAGCGTCTTTGTCACATTTATCTCGCGTTTCGGAGTTGGTTCGAAGTTGTCGTCGGTCGAGTCTCGAACGAATCTCGGCGTTCATTTGCACCACGTGAGACACGAGCGACTTGGTCTTTGCGTGTGAAAAGTGTGGGGCGGGTCTGTTCTCCGTAGGGACCCACGAATTCCTGCGGGCTTTAACCGCGAGCTTTTCAAATGGTGCACGCATTATGCGCCGTGGTGACGCGAGTGTAGCAGAGTGTTTTGACATCAGCATGGTGCGGTGATTTCTGTGAAACGTTGTGTTCGATGAATGAAGAAGACACTGTGGCAGTTTGTAAACAACACGGAAGGATAGACCGTCGAGGTATGTCGCTTCGTTTCTCTCTGACGGCACGCCAATTTTAGGTTAGGTTAGGTCCTATCAGTTGCCAACATTCCCTTGCGGTTCGAAGCGGTAAGGTGGCCTGGGCTCGTGCGGTTTTTTCGATCTCGAATGATATCGTTCTTTCGAGGTCTCTGTATATAGAACCAGGACCTCCGGATCCAGGCATAAAAGGGTCCTTCTTAGTTCTAAACGATATGTGCCGGCGCACGTCTCTAGCGCTCTCGTCCCTCCTTTCAGGAATGCGAACCCGGGGGTCCTGCAGTGTGTCTACTGTATACCCCTCTGCAGCAGGTAGTGATAGGCAACGTAGCTTTTCTACACCATACTTTCCTTCCATTATCGCAGCATTTCTTCTCGTTTATCTTCCTAATTCTTTTCTTCAAACAAGAGTTCAATAATATCGCGGGATAAAGTTCTGGAGTCGTTGGAGTTGTATTTATTTTCAAGTCGTATCCTTGTATATTTATAATCACCAATCATTATTATAATCATGTGGTTTCTCGTTCCGAGCATAATTTAGAGTGTGATATATTTTTATGAATAGGATTCAAATTATTTGTACGCTAGTTATTTGATGATTGATTTATATTTTAAAATAAAATATTTATTGAAGTGAACTATTCAGTAGATAATAGTAGTATTTATTTAATTGAATAATGATATTCGTTGAATTTTATGATGTGTAAATTACTATGTCATTTATTCATATAATGTAATATAACGCTATAATTAACGTACATAATTTTCTAAAATTAAAACACAAAAATAGAACCACAATTCCATTCTTTCCACATTATTGCTATTTAGGATTATTCTGAATTACATATTGAACATAATTGCAACCTTCCGATTTTTCAAGTATAATATGTGCACAAATAAAATACAATACCAAAGTTAATAAAAATTTATGGAATTATTTTGACGAAAGGAATTGTTACATTGTGATCGGCGATAAAATATCCTCGACCGAGAAATCTTCTAAGATCCAAATGGCAAATGTTTAGACAGAAACGCATGAAACGTGCATGGTAAATTTTACGAGGTACCGTTGCACTCGATTTTCGATACGTAATTTGACCCGCATTGCACGTTCTGTGTTTTATGTAACGTGGACGGATTTTGTAATTGAATATCCAACGCGAAAAATGCTGCGTGCCATGAGAATAGTGCTGGATTGAATGCAAAAACATTTTGTTTTGGTCTCCCACGGATTATTTCGCGATTTATATTTCAATTAAAAAATGAAATCATTTCTCTACTTTTCCTAAACAGATATTATTTTTGCCACTGCATCAATCTCCACCATTTCAACTTAAAATTTTTGTCATATTTATGAATTTTAATACTCGGATAATGGAGCTCGGGTCCATTTGGTCCCACAGCTTAAAAATTACTTGAACATCAAGTTTCCGACAAAAATTAAGTAATATTTTCGTATTACGAATTAGACATGATATACGCAAAATGTACCCAAACATCGGTGCTAATTCGAATCGGAACAAGGCCTAAATGTTTACGAAAGTGTGCAACTGATCCGTTTTAGTATGCAGACGAATCATCAATCCTGTTGCGTGCGGCCACATGCAACGTATACGAATAATGTATAAAATAACCGAAAAAATTCGTATTCCCAATGGTTCAAGGTTTATAATCTCCCATCATGTGAAAGCAATAGAAAGGTCATACCAGTCTTGTTTTCACTCTGATTGCTTTCAGCATTCAACTAGCTCGGTTACATACTCCACACGAAGTCGCCAGGTTTTTTGTCATACTTGATATCACGTTGTAAATGAAACAAGTTTATCCTTTATCATTGATTTTTACCTTATGTCTTGCTATTATTGGATCTAACTGTACAACAGTCGTTTCGTCTTTGCGTGTAGCGAAGATGAATAACAATAATAATAATAGTAAATATGCAGCATGTAATGTTGCAAGCTGCGGTAGTCCTGCAGTCGATAAAGTCATCGAAGAATGGCACTGGTTTGGCGAACAGGAGCAACAGGTTGCTGGTCTCCTATTTTCCAGGGGTCTAATTTAATTTAAATAACTAAAAGGGTGTGTCCTTTGTAAGTATATTACACAGATCAGTTTCCATGGGTTCTGTTCCAGTGTCCCGGAAATTTGACTGGCTAATTGTTCTCGATTCGTTTTCTGTTCAAACCTTATTGAAAAGAAGCTTACGTAAATGATTTCGTAACGCTGCCAGTACCAC